TCGGCCAAAAATATAGCCTTCGACTCGCCTAGGCGAGTTCGAGAGCTGTCATAACCTCCCCGAACGAAACCTTTCCCTTCGGCAAAGCTTCGTCTGGGTTCCTCCCTGCTAATGCAGAGAGTTCGACAGACGGCGGTTGCTGTAAGTTTGATACAGCTTATGAATGGCTACCCATGAGGCATTTGAGCGTATACTACTTCATGTGAATGGGTAACACTACACTATAATAATATTTAGGGAATAATGCAGAGAGCGCATTGAATGTTGTGTGTTACATATTGGGTACAGGAATTTCAACTACGTGGTTGGTGTCGTAAAATGACGGAAAATGAGACACAGAAATTCAAAGGTTCATAGGAAGTGCAAAAGATGCCTTTCAGAAACTAAGTATTAAGCGATATAAAAATGTAGTTAAAAACAAAGAAAAGTTTTTTGAACCGCTACGTAGCAAGTATTCATGTTGGAAAATCTTTGAAAGGGTGAAAAGATACTTAACGCAATCGGGATGTGCTTCTACCAACGAGAAGTAAGAATAAGTAATGATTAAAAAAAACAGGATATTAATGTATATTTCAGTATCTCTAAGATTAGATTCAAATTTGGTATCGCTAGGCTATGAAGTCGTATATTCATGAACAAATCAGAAATGTTCTCAAGTAGAATATGACGTCGTAGTCTAGAGAGCCAATCAGAGACACGATCTATTCTCAAGAATGATTTGACATCACAACCTCTCAAACCAATCAAAAGTCAAGCGGTATTTTTTAAATGGGTCTCTTGTTTCGTCAGCATAAGTTTATAAAGAGATTGATTGCCTAATTCAGTGAGAACAGATGTATTAATTTTATAAATTCCCCAATGCTATTTTTATCGAAAATAAGCAAGATAAAAATACTGCACAATGTGCACACACTCCCTCATCGGCACATACATACACATATTTCATTTAACAATTTTCTTTTTGCGACTACGACGTCTTAATACATACATGATATATATATATATATATATATATATATATATATATATATATATATATATATAAAACGTTATTTTAGTGGACACCCGTATTTAAATAGACGTTCCGTTTTTATGCTAAACGGTATTTCATTTTGTCTACCGACCTGAACATTAGAGAATTCTTGCAAGATTCGAACCTGTACCCCTACCTTTGAAGGAGAAAGCGTCATTTGATCCGACGTACTTTTCATAAATAGACAACGAAGATACTTATATATCTCGACTCGTGTAACCCTTATCAGTCAATCTCTCTGTAAATATATTCTGTTGTATGATAATTTATCTTGCTTATATTAACTCAGTCTTCTGATTTTCTTCCAACCTTTATCCAAAGACTTTTCGGTATATGGTGACATATGACGTTGCTATTAAGTAAACGCGTAACATTCACAATGATTAACGTATAGCAAAAAATATATACTTACAATCAGAATGAGACTGGTGAAATTTCTGAAGCATATAATGAAGAAATATGGTTTTAAGAATTTAACTCTCGAGGAGTATAGTGAAGGCAAGAGAACAGGTGAAAACGGCGATTAAACTAATTATTGAGTTTGAAGAATATTTTTAAGCATTTCACCCCAAACAAGGCAGGAGTACCACTAGCACGCAAGGGGTTACAGAGAGTGAGAGCAAGAGTAAACAAGGAGTATTTGAGGAAAGGATACAGAGAAGGACGGGGATCAGGATCAAGGCATCAGAAGATGTCGATTGACATTATATTTGAATATCTGAAGGTTATAGCTATCAAGGAAGCAAGTAAGAGGTAAAGAGTTCCACTGTCGGAAAGTGCTAGAGAGAAAGATGTTGGAGTAGAAGAGGCGGTTACTGTTTTGACAGTGAAAGGGTGGGACCGAGTTGCCAACCTAGTAGCTCGTTTCAGTTTATGCAGATGGGGTACCAGTGAAAGTTGCTCGTCTGAGCAGTTGCCATGAAAATATTTGTAGAAAAAACAGAGGGAAGCTACATCACATCTGTGAGAAAGTGACAGTAGAGATGCCAGATCAGGACCTATCAACTTGTATATCAATCTTTGGATTTTGTCAAGAACCTCGAGATGAACAGCGGTGGGGGGTGGATTTTAATGCAAGGACGAATGATGGATAAACAAGGACAAAGAGGGCTGGTTAGTTGGTTGGTTAATTGGCTGGTTTTGTTTAGTGGCATATCAACCTCTTCAAACTCTATGGGTTATTTAATACCGAAATCTGAAAATTTTCAACACAATTTCATGGCTTCAGCTAAAAATATTTTGAGTGCAATTGTATGCCTTCAACTACAGATAAAATAAATTGTTGGTAATTCTGCTATAAAATGTATTGCTGGTCATTTTACTATAAACATATATATTTTTACTATAAATATTTTTTAATAAAGAAATGCATTGCTGGTATTTTTACTATAGACATGTATTTTTTACACTTTTATCGTCTTTTGTTTGGGGTTCACCATTTGCCCATAGCTGGGACCCTAACAGGTGCTACCACCCCGTGTCATGGTAGACCTGGAAAGAACAGAAATTAAGAGGTGGCTCTATATTCATCAAAACCTCAAATCTCCTGATGAGAATCTTTGCTGCCGGATGTAGTTTATCATCATACCCAGGGCCAAAGAGGGATGGCAATGTTATAAAAAAAGCACTTTGTAGAGAGATAGAATCGCCCACGACCACGATACTTGACATTGGCATATGAGTATATATTTACATTTCCGTGTAGATCCCGCTGTGTAGTCACATGATTTAAAGATATTTTATGTATATGAATTTATGTCTATATATTGAGTAGAAGCATGCGTGTTATCGTATATGTTCGGTTTTGCGTACCAAAGGAAAAAACGCCTTTTTTATTAACGTAATATTACCGACTGTCAAATGCAATATTTCAACTCTTTGTTTCTAATCTAATGAAAGCCGAAAAATAAAATGCTACAGAATGTCGTCTTGGCACAAAACAAAAATGATTGTGTGTGGAATCATTTCTTCGGAACAGCATAATGGTTTTTTTTTTTTTTTTTTTTTTTTTCGTCTTCCTCTGAGGTCAGCCAGTTAGTTTGATTTTGACACAAGAAGTTTTTTTTTTCGTGGAACGATCCAGATGCAACCGACATTGCATTAGGAAAAAATTAAATGAGAAATAATAGTCCCATGCATACGAGATCGATGTCTTTATATCTATCATTTTTTCTTTTCCTTCTTCATTTCTTCTTCGTCTTCTTTCTCTTTCGTCGTCTCCTCTTTCATCTCCTCCTTTGTCTCCACTTTCTCTTCCTCCTCCTCCCTCTTTATTTTCATTTCATTTTCTTCTTTTATTCCTCCTCCATTTTCTCTTCCCTATCATCCTAATGCTTCATTTCCTCTTCTTCATACTTCTTCATCTGTCTTCCATATCATTCTTTTTTATTCTTTCTCCCTTTTTTCACTTCCCCTTTCTTCAACTCTTCTTCTTTCTTTCATCATCTCCCTTTTCCTTTCTTTCTTCTTCACCTCCTCATCTACCTCCTCCTTCTATATATCTTGATCCTTCTTATTCTTATTCTTATCATTATTTTTTTCTCTGTTTTCTCCTTCGCTTCCTCTTAGCCCTTCTACTTCTTTATTTCCTATTTTTCTTCCTCCTCCTTTTCCTCTTTAAATTCCTTCTTTTTCTCCTCTTCCCGCTTCTTCCTCCTACTACTTCATTTCTTCCTCCATCTGCTCTTCTTCATTTTCTCTTCTTCCATTCTTCCTATCCTCCTCCTTCAACTCCTCTGTCTTCATCTGCTACTTCATCTCCTTCCCCATCATCTCATCTTCTTCTTTCTTCATCTCCTCTTCAACCGTCTGCTTCGCCTCCTCTTACTCTTCCTCCTCCTCTCTTTGATCTCTTAATTTTTCAAATATTGTTTTACTCTCCCCGACATTAATGCTATTTTCTCTAATCAGAAAAGTCTATTTCCCTCTCCTACCCGATCATTTATATATTTTTCTTATTACTGACAAATTTCATCTCTTCCTCATTCTAATTTTATCTTGCTTATATATGTCGAAAATTTGGAAAGTCGTTATGGATTTTTCAAGTAAACTAAACCCTTTCCGCAACATTTATCTCAACCATAAACAAAAAGTGTTTTAAATTTACATCCGTAAACCTAATGTCCGTTCGTTTTTAAGGAACCTAAATATTGGTCTGAGAAGGTCCAATAAAAAGTAACTGAAATTTACATAAAACATACAGCTCGAAGATTAATAATAATAATTTCAGTTCCGATTTGAATTCCTATATTTCACAGTTATTTGCAACAATCTTTGGGGCAATCTCATGCATCCAAATGTTAGCTTCCTATTACATGCCTGATGAGATTTTATTTCTTTGACTATTCAGTACACAGAAATACTTCATTAGTCTGTAAGATAGTTTTGCCTAGAGCCATTTGCAATATCATTTCGTCCATAATTTTCACATGTCTTCGGAATTTTCTGTTTTTGTTTCCTTTCTCTATTCTGACTAAATTATTCTTTTCATAATTCGTTTATTATCCTATCAGAAAGAACAATACAAATGCGAAAGGATGTATATCTGTGTTATTAGAATAATATTGAATATATACTGAGAGCAAATCACAATGCATAAGCATAGATAATGAATTCTTTAAATATACAAATAAATAGAAAAAGGGCTTTACACCAGAATGTTTTTTTTTCTCATCAGATTTATTCAACCCATACAACGAGCCAATTTTGAAAGAATTAAATCATCTGCCAGGATTCATTAATGTCCGACTAAATCTTAACCCCATGAGATATGCAGATGACCCAGTGTTGACATCAGATACTTTATAGGAACTCCTACAGGAAGGTTATAAAGGAATGTAAGAAAAAAGGAAAGAACTAAAAATGAACTGTAAGATAAGGATGCCAATAAAAGATACTGTCCCAACATGCGAATTAGAAATTGGAGATACAAAAATTAAACAAATATAAAAATTTAAATGTCCAGGAA